TAATGTTATTGAGTAAAGGGAAAAAGCCGATGTTAAAAAATATGTATTGTAAAGTAAGAAATTCTTTAGTTTTTGGGGTGTGGACATTACACAAGCATATACAGTAAATTCCACTTCCCCACCAATATGGCCCTGAGATGTGTAACTTTTATTGCGTGATAGTTCTTCCAAGGATGATCTATAAGTTCTTTATGAAATTCAGGTCTAGAGATTCACTTTGGCCAGTTTATTCACACAATGCTTTTCATAGCAAGGAATTTATTAGTCAGCTTTGCTGCATATAGATGCTGATTATCATCCATGAAAAGAAAATCAGGTCCACATGCATCCTCAGAAGCCTGACATAGAACTGCAATGCTGCATCTTGATACTTTCAAGAAAACCTAGATCTTTTTCCAGACAAACTCATGATACTATGTCTATTGATCTAAATTCCTTCCTATACCATTGTACCCATGGATAATAAACTATTGCCTTTTTGGCATTAGGCCTTTCTCATTGTGTGTTCATTTTGTCTTGCCACGAAAGTTCCAATATCAACTACAGCTGTAAACTCAACTGCCTGTAGTCAAGTTTCTGTTTTATTTGTTTCTTAAAAACATAAACCTATCTTTTTCTGCTGTGACTTTGTACAAGTTTCTCAGCAGTAATTTCAATTTCTAAGTTGTTTTTAAAGGACAGAAACTGACTTCCTTGATATGTTCAGTCATCTTGTTTTTTCTGTAATTGGCTACTTTGCTTTGTCGTGGCTAAAAGCTATTTATTTCAGAGATGTTTCTATATGATAATTGTGGTATTATAAAAGATAATTTTAGTACACTGTACTGGTTTTTTAGCTCAATAAACTTGAAATCAAACTTTGCATTAGTAGCTTCTTGGAAGAGGGTAAGAAATTATTTGTGCGAAGGATGATTTTATGTCATTATTTGCATTTGAAAAAGACTGATCAAATTCATTTTGGATAATGACAGTTAAATTTGCTTTTAGGTTATTCTATGAAATATGAATACAATTGATAGGTTTATTTATGAGATATCTTTATTTTTGTGTGTGTCAAAATAATTTTGGACATTAGTAAATTTCTTTCCTTGCAATTTAAAATTTTATACACATTTTCGATAATGTAATTATCTTTGTATAGTATTTATGCAAGATTGTTAATTATATGTTTGAATTTTTTTCCCTAAATTTATATAGATGTAATGGTACTTACGTACTATGATGACTACCTTGGCAACATTTGCCGATAAAAATCTTCATTGCCATTTTTTGGTTTATGTTTATAAATTCTTTTAAAAATAAGTCTTATTTATAAAGGAACAAAAACTTAAAAGTCAAGAATCCTGAATATATATATATATATATAAACATATTATAAATAAACGTATATTCTAAATACGTATAACTATATACTAAATATGAATTAAAATATTAACTTATTAAAAACTGGTTAAAAGAAAACATTGAAGTTAATGGTGAGGAAAATGGCAGGAAATAGCTTTCAGAATAGCAACGAAAGGCATTTCCTGTTTTTTCCGCCAAATAAATTCAGCTAAATAGGTATCCAAATGATGGAGGTTTGAACCACGTTGTCGCTTGTTCCTCCATTTTGCAGAACACCATATCCTTTCAACATGTTGAGTATGAGTCTGTGTAGATGGATCAACAAAATTGTATCTATGATTCACCTTAACATGTACTAAACCGTCAGCAATGAGATCCTCTGTTTGATAGCCAGGCCGCGAATCTGACATTATTGTTGAGCCTTAAGGATTATTATTTTGGATTTCATGCATTAAGGTTGTTTCCTTCCGGTCTGGAACTCTGACTAGAAATGTTTCTTTTATCTCACAGCAAATTCCACCGAAGATCCATTATTGTGGCAAGATACGACCTTGATAATTCTTTCTATGCGTAAAAAGGCTTTCGTTAATTTCGACAATCATTCCTGGCCCTCCAATTTTGATATTTCGATTATCCTATATACACACCTTACGCATATAATTATTCTGATGAATAACAGTCTTATTGGATAAATCCGACTTATGTTTGCGCCATTTAATGGACGACTGTTCATATGCCTAAACGTAAATAAATGTTAAAGCTTTTAAAATTTCAGTATGACTGTTTTCAAACCACATACAGTTCGGACACCAAACTTTTGTTGACAGTTTTTGACATTGCATCTCCAATAAAGTCCTGAATTATAAAACTTCATATCGTGACCGTTTTTACGAACACGTTCTATGAGTAAAATTTAGCCCCTCTTCTATTGCTTCTTCTTCATTTGAAGGAAGTTGGAAAATGGTGATATCCATTGGGAAAAATATAATTACAAAAAGTTTCACGTGTTTAATCTAAATGTAATAATCCGTATAAATGTAGCAAAAAAAGGTGTGGTAATAGCAAGTGTGGGATAATACTCTTTATTTTAGCGCCCTCTATAACCTATGTTAGGGATTCAAGGGTCGCCAGATTTGACGAGATATCTAGGTAGTCGTCATAGTAGTGTAATAATCTAAATAGTTGTAAGCACCGATGTAATAATCTAAATAGTTGAACATTTTTTAATATCCTCCTAGCTTAAAATTATATGATACTCTTAGCTTTTGTGGCAAAGATCAATTTATAGTTTTATATTTTATTGTAAAGAAGAAAATTTAATGGTAATTACGTATTATTAGCACAACCACCTTAGTCTAGTTTGGTAGTATTTTGCAGAAGAAAAAGAATAATGACTTGCAAAAAATTATTTATTAAATGCATAATGTTATTATATACTATTATTTATGCACATTATAAGTTACCTTGAATATAAATCAGTAAATGAACTTGAATTAAACTAGCAGGTATTTAATTCAGAAGTCAAACAACAAACATCAGCGTTATATTTTCAAAATTTTCACAGGACTAGTTTCGATGGTTTTACCGAACCACCATTCTCACCTGCAAAACTGCAAATGAACAAGATAGGAAATAATGATTAGATAAGATAAGAAAGCCTGGACAAGAATAAGCAAGTGGCGCCATCTGTTGGTGAAACGTAGCGAAACCATGCCGAGAAGTTTAAAGTTTCAAACAATTTTGATTCATAATAATGCATGTAGATATCAGCCAGGATGGGACTGAGGGGGCTTCCCATGGCTAATCCCTCAGTTTGCTTGTAATATTATTTTGAAACAAAATGTTTTGTTTCAAACAGAGTTGAGTGATAGAAATTAGCTCATCAGTTTCGATGCAAGAGAAATGAAATTCGCGAAGTATGGTTTCTAGACATCTTAATGCACCCTCCACTGGGACATTGGTGAATAATGATTTTACATCAAAAGAAACCATGAGTAAATTTCTAGGAGAAATGTTTTTAATCTTTTTTACAAACTCTATTGAATTTTTTATGGTGTAAATGTTATTGTCTAATAGAGTTGACAAACTGAGGGATTAGCCAAGGGAAACCCCCTCAGTCCCATCCTGGCTGATATCTACATGCATTATTATGAATCAAAATTGTTTGAAACTTTAAACTTCCCGGCATGGTTCCGCTACGTAGACGGTACTTTTACCCTGTTTGAAGGTAATAAAGATGATTTAAATAAAGTTCTTTCAACAATGAATTCTATTGATCCTGCTATTTAGTTCACTTTTGAACTTGAGACTTAAATTCTCTTCCGTTTCTCGACATTCTGGTCACACGTAACACATCCAACTTCAGTACTACGGTACAGGCAAACCTTCATCGGTTTGCCTTCCACCACCCTTTAAATCATGTCATCCAACTAAACAAAAGTTAGCTTCATTTTATTCCCTATGTTTTCCGTGCTCTTCAAGTTTGCTCCTCCAAACTAGCCCTTGATGAAGAACTAAATTATTTGAAAGCAATAGCTATTGATAGGGGCTTTTCACCCAACATTATTAATCAAGCAGTTAAAAAATTCTCATCTCAACACACACTTGCACACTCTTGTTTTAGGAGATTATAAAAATTCTGTTGTCATTCCCTTCTTTCCATCAATTAGCTATAAAGTTGCACATATTTTGCAGAAAATTAACTTTTGGGTTGTTTTTTCTCCCATCAATAAAATTCCGAGTTCCATACTCAAGGACCCCATTCCGGATATGAATTCCTGAGGAATTTATAAAATTCCTTGCCCGTGTGGTTTAATTTACATTGCCAAACTAAGAAAGCCTTAAAATTTCGCGTCAAGAACATGAGGCATATGTTAAAAAAGGAAACACAGAAGTCTTCTGTTGCTCAACATTGTTGGTCCGAAAATCACACTTTCAATTTTTCTGCTGCCAAAATTATTCAAAAAACATCTTCCATTGGAGAACTGGATTTTCTAGAGGCATTTCACATTCAAATAAATCCTTCTGTTCTAGTTAACGATCCTAATTCCAATCCATCTTTGCCTTCGGCCTTTAAAGAAATTATGTTTTAGTTCTGGTTTTACCACCAGATGACGCCACTTGCTTATTCTTGTCCAGGCTTTCTTATCTTACCTAATCATTATTTCCTATCTTGTTCATTTGCGGTTTTGAAGCTGAGGATGGTGGTTCGGTAAAACCATCGAAACTAGTACTGTGAAAATTTTGAAAATATAACGCTGATTTTTGTTGTTTGACTTCTGAATTAGTATTTATTTGCCCTGTTATTGTGTCTTAATTAGCAGGTATTTATTTTGTTCTGGTAGAAATTTTGTAGCAATCGCTATAATAACAGATTCAAAGCAAGTGTTCCCTTTACTGATTTTATGAAAAAAAAGTACTGTATTTCTGAAAAAGAAACCTTAAATACCACAAAAACAATATGCATGAAAATGGCTATGTTTGCTAAAATTGAAAAATTATTCTATGCATGATGGCCTGTTGTTATGCACGTGGTTGCTAGAGTGTGTCACATTCAGAAAATTTGGAGAGTGGTCATGCTAATACATAAGTATCAATTTAACCTTGTATTCTTTAAATAATTTCTTCTAATTTATATTTATTTTATAATTTTTCAGACTTGGATCTCGAATCTCTTATGGAATTATTAGATGAAGATTCTGAACCAAATAAAATGGAAGTAAAAAATCAGTATTTGCCAAAAAAACTTGATAGAGCTGAAGTAGATGAATCTTTCACTGATCATTCCTTAAAGAAAACTGAGCCAAAGATTCTAAAAGATATTTCTTTAGATTTTATGGAAGTAACAAATCAGTATTTGCCAAAAGAACTTGATAGAGCTGATAATGAAGTAGATCATTCCTTACAGAAAGTTAAACCAAAATTTCTAAAAGATATTCCTTTAGATTTTGTACAACCTGTGGTTCCAAAGTCAAGTGGAAATATTTCACTATCTGCTTCCTTCAAAAGCTCTTTAATCCATTCTGGTGAAGCAGATAGCTCAGATGATGAAAATAAAACAGATTTAACCGACACTGGGAAAGATATTAAGAAAAAAATTTCAGAGAAAATAAACCACTATTTTGATAAAAATCGTAGAGTTATAAAAACATGTAAGTTTGAAATTGTATCCTTAGACTTTAAAATGTAAAATTATTTATTTATTTTAGGCTAGATATAGAATTTTGAGTCTTGTATACAGTATTATTTTAGATGCTTAAAAAAATTTAAAATTTTTTATTTAAAACTCATAAAATAATCCATGAACTAAAAGGAGAAAAATGATTTATCATATAGTTTAAAAATTCTCTTTGCAAAATTCTTTTACAGTTCTTTATCATGAATAATAAAAGTGTGTGGTGTTCTCGATTCATGATATAAAAGTATAGAGGAGTTTTGTAAAAAGGATTAGTTAATCTCTTGTTTCAGTAAAAGGCAGAACGAATTATTTTTATTTTTAGATCATTAATTATTTTATGAATTTTAATTAAAAGCTTACTTATAAAAAAATTTCACTCTTTTTAATCGGAATTATGTATTATCAGTCAAGTCATTGAATTAAAATGTCATTTATCAGCAATGAATAATCACCCTTTTAGTCCCAGGAATTCTCTTAATATTTACAACCATAGCATAAAGTATATTATTTTTAACTTTACATCAAAGTTTATTTATATTGCTTTTCATTAAATATGCATGCAGTCAGATGACTAGTTTAAACACTATTTCTAGAAAAATATAATTAATTTTTTTTTTTATCATTTTTGTTTTAAAAGATGGTGGAGAGTTGGTTTTGTAATCTGAAGAAATTCTAAATGTTTATAGCAGATGCATTTTTGGATATTAGAATTCATAATATCCCATAAAAGAATATAGTAATATATTTCCCTGTAAAGTTCTTTATCAAAATCAATTTTAAAAATGAAATCCTGAAAAAAATTTATATAATATATATTGTATCTTATACAATGGGAAACATGAAAAATAGCATTACAGATTTCATTGCAAATAATTTTAAATGATAATTAGTCATTAAACTCTGTTGTTTTTTAGATTAATATAAGGAAATTAATACTATAAAGAAAAGGAGGAAAAGCTAGTATTTATAAAATAATAGAACACTTCTGTAGTATCTTAATTTCATAGCAAGTAATTCTTTCTAGCAAGGGGAGGAAGATTACAAAATAAATAAAAGCAGTATTATATAATTAACCATAATGACAAGCACCTATTAAGCTAACCATGACTGAGCTAAATGAAAATTTAATAAAAAGAAATTTACAATAAAATAAATTGTTAAAACTCATTGTTAGGCAGTGCATAAATTATTTTTTTTTATAACTATAGTGTGTAATGTATGACTTATACATTACACACTATAGTTATGTGTGTGCAATGTAAATATTTTTCATTATTTACAAAAATAGTACATATGTTTAATAAAAATTATCATTAATTAAAATTTATGGCATTCTTCATTTAATAAAGTACCACTTAACACTAAACAAAATTTAAGAAATTCACATGTAAGAATACATGTTAGCACTTTAGTTGGCAGCTGCAAAGGAGTTCATTCTTAGTTGTAGTTGACAGAATTCTACCAACATGAATTCTAACAGGATACATGAACAAACCCAGTAGCTGTCAATAAAAGAATGCTTGAAACGTTGAACCAACAATTTGCTCTGTCAACCTTTCTTCTCGTGGTCTGAACCTTTATTTCTGCAGCATTTCAGTGCTTTTTTTTTTTTGCAGTAAAATATAATTTTGTTTTGTAATTTTCCTGTCTTTCAGTGAAGATGATACCTTTGACTTGGCAAAATTTAATCACAATGCTTTGTCATTTGACAGCTATTAGTCATTTAATCTATACTGACTCTTTAAAAAAAAGTCAGTGGAAAAATTGTTGGATCAATGTTAATTTTTCCCATTTATTTGCAATGATGTCAGTATAAATGTATGGAAACTCATTAGTAACCTTATGAACAACATAATTACTCACAAGGAATTTACATTACCATCTTTGGCACTTACGTATTCAATTATGACTGATATTCATTTAACCAGAAAGTACCAATTTTTTATTATAAAATGTGTTCATTATATCTATTAGAGTTATTATTAGAGAATAATAAAAAGATGTAAGAAGAAGTATGCGTTTTGTTTAAAATTATTCTGTTTGTTAGCCAGTGCATAATTTTAATTTGAAAAATGAGTTAAAGATCTTATATCATGTTAAATGCTGAAGCTATTAAGAACAGGTACTTTTCCAAGTTATTTGAATGATAAATTTAAAATCTCTTATATTACATGAAGTAACAATATTTGCTAGGATGCATGGCGATAAAGCTGTGGTAGCACGACGTAACAAATATAACAAAATTAAAAAAACTAAGTTTAATTATTTAAGCATCATTACATTTCTTTTGTAAAATGCAGTTTTTATATTTTATCTGGTTTTATATAATGAATCATTATTAAAGTAGTAATAGTGTTGCTACAAATTCCCCAACTACTTTTGCAAATTTTAAGTTATTTTCTGAGATTCTGTGAGTTTTAGATTTTTCTCATAAATATCAAATAAAAGATTTTCCCTTTTATTATTTTTACTGTAACTGTTAGTTTATCTTTCAAGTTAATTACCTGTATTATCATCTTAATTGAAAATTTATAATATAATATGTTGCAAAGTAATCCTATTCCAAAATCCACGGCAGAACTTCAAATCTTAACTTCTGTGCAAAAAAAGGTCAAAAGAAAAGAATGCTTAAGTATTTTCCATTAATTTTAGAAGTAAAGCTTGTATAAGAAAACTGCACCTAAAATAAACATTATTGGTTCCTCTTTTCCCCAAGTGGTGGGCACTTGCCTATTTGTCACTAGCCACTCCTATGACCAGAAGTGGTGGCCATTTTATTGTGGAGGTACCTAATATGTGCCCACTGTTGCCTCCTATGAAAGGATGGACAGTTATAATCATGCCTTCTCCAAGATTTGAACCTAGGCCCTTTGGTACCACAGTAGGCTTCCCTAAACACTATACCATCTGGGTGGCTTATTTTTATGTTGTATGTTATTGGATAGCAAGTACTATTAAAAAAGTGTTCATTTTGACATATGTTGAATAGATTTATGTGGCAAATTCATATCCTGTATGATATGAATTAAAATGGATTAAGAGGAGATGACAGTGGCCGTTCTGTTTAGAGTGTTATTCATTAGGTATCTTTAATGTTGCTTCTGATAAACTTCTGTATTCTTGCAAAGGAGCAATAATCAGTTATGTTATCAATTTTGGGCAATGTGTCCTGGTGTGCAAATAACATTTTAAATCACTCCATAGATATTCTGGACTGTGCATCAGTGTGTTATTACATCATTCATATCATAAAAAGCTTATATTAACAGCATCTGCTGTATGAGCCGGAGTTCAGTCAACAAAGTATTGCTATTGCAGCAATAACACTGAATATATATATATAACACTGAACACTAATTTGGATAACACTGAATAAAGTATAAAATATTAAGACAAGCCTCTGTATTCATATTTCTCTTCACAGAACCCTGAGGTTCCAAGGCCACTCCATAATAAATAAGACCAGTCTATATGCATAATGTTCTATCCATCAAACTTGATATGAGGGATAATAAATTCTTGCAAATATTGTCTACCTGGTATTCCTCACATTCAAACATGGTCAGTGGACGACTTCTAAACAGTTTATCATGATTCGTCACTCCATATAACATGCTGCCTTTTTTTGTGTGTGATATGTCTTTTTGGTTACATCTCATTTTATGCCATGCTAAGTGATGCTTAGCATTAGTGCACTAATGTAAAAGTATGTGTTGCTGCTGTCATGTTAAAATCCATATTTTACTTTCCATGAATTACTATGGTACTGGTATACGAGTGGTGTTTTTTAAGGAAGGGCCATTAAAAAAAAAAAAAAAAAAAAAAAAAAAAAGTTGCCAAATTTGTTTTAATAGGTATTGTACCTTAGAGCTAGATTTTGAATACTCAATTCATAGAAACTTGTTGCTGGCTCATGCAGCCAAGAGGTCATGTCCTAGACTGGACAACTCAGGAAATTTGTTTAATGAGTGTTTATGGTGAAGCTTCTGTTCTCAAGACTTTTCACTTCATCTGAAGCCATCATATTGTCTGTGATCGCAGATGGGCGATCGGAGCGGAATTCATCATCAATGTTGTCGCAGCCAGCTTTGAAGTCTCTGACCCATTTATGCACTTTGCCTTCACTTATGGCAGTAGCTGTCTAAACTGCACAAATCTGCCAGTGAATGTTTGCAATAGACAGGTTTCTTGCCGACAAAAAACGTATCTCTGACCTTGCCTTGAATAGAGCGGGTGATTCGATAATCTTAAACATTTTAAAGACACAGAACAGACTGTACAGGTTACCTCCACAGCTGCATTTTAGCACAGTTTGCAAGGAAAGCCGGGACATGACGCAAGCACATTGCCACCTGTGTGACACATATTAGTGTGTACAACAAAACAGCCCTTACTTTAAAAACATGCTACGTATTTAAAAATATTGTTCACTTTTTGTGAGTGTTTCATAAGTTCCATACAATTTTATTTCATTCCATACAATTCAAAACACTACAATTCCTGTCTGTCCAACTGCATCATTAACTTGATTTTAGTTGAACAGATGTAATTGTTGTAATTTTAAGCTTTGCTATCATTCGTTGTTGAATGTTACACCTTTGACATTGCAAAAATTTTATAAAAGAGTTTTTCACAATGGAAGCCAACTGATTAAATCTCCTTTTTCAAACTCACTGTGCCGATGGTTTCTACTCATTTTGCTTTTAAGATTTGCTATTTTATATTTAAATGGGACTGTTTTCTTTTTTATAACTACTTCAGTGTACCCTGTTACATCAGTGCACAAATCTCTCTTTTGGTGTTTGGATACCTTTGATCATAAAATGTATCTATCTATAAAGATGACACAGTACAAAGTCCGAGATCAGGGTTCGTACGGTCCTTAAAAGTCCTTAATTTTTTCAAAAATGATTTTTGGTCCTTAAAAGTCCTTAATTTTGGCCAAAATGAATAAACGGTCCTTAATTTTGCTCATTTGACATTTCTTATCATTTCTAATGATTGCCATTCTAAGTGTGAATTACGATTTCTCATGAATATGGAATTAAAATTACACAGCTCTTAACTAATCTGTTGGCGGATTTGCATTGCAAACGATTAAAAAAAAAAAAACAATTAGCTACCCGAACGAAAGTATCGGTGTCTGATTGGCTATTCACGCAATCTTTCGAAACAGGTGTTATCCATAAATTTAGGCAGACTGTGACGAAAGCGTGAAGCTGGAAGTTCTTTAAGAGGCGAAAGTGATGATGAAGGTGCTCGAGAAAAAAAAAGGGGGGGGGATTCTGAAAATATTTGCCAAAACTAGAGCAATTCCAACCTGGAAGGCCACAACCCTTCCGACGCCAATAGGAACGAGATGCCTGGAAAGTGCATTTTCAATAAACTGTGGCTTCATCAAGCTGACTACAAAGACTGGATATTGATGGATGGCAATCCTTTAAATGTGGTCTTTGTCTGAAACAAATTGAAATTTCTAGAATGGGAGAGTCAGCACTGAAAATTCACATTGAAAATTAAGTTTCGTTTTATCATTTCAATTTGTTTTTTACACGGTTTTGCTTAGCTTAATTTCTGTGTTTGTTTCAATTAAGCCATAAATTAATTTTTTTATCACCTTCTACGGAGTTTATTCTCTTTTGCACATACTATATGTATGGGATATCGGGATTATGAGTTTATTTCTGCAGAGGGTCTGTTATCGATTTCGCGGGAAATCTGTTGGCTCCATTTCGATTTTAGGTCGCCAAGGGCAAAATTCGGTAACGCTAGCTGAGAAAAAGTGAAGTTCGGAAATACGTTTTGAAGCTTCAATAGACAATTAAGTATTTGGTTTAAACCTATGTTTTTGATAGTAATGCATAATTTTTGCTAATGGCGATACAATTATTAGTTGAAAAATAACTAATTAAAAAAATTTTTTAAATATTTTTAAAGCTGAAAACAACTAATTGAAACTAATTTTCCTGAATTAACTAGACGCAAAATTAACTTTCATGAATTACTAAAGTTATTGGGTAGAAGTTTAACTGAAAATGCTTTTATAATATATATATATATCCCAGTTATAAGAGCCATTGAAATATGGGATGACTTGCTACTAGTACATTTAAGAAGTTGAAATGGGGAAGTTTTTAAAAAAAAAATTCATTGAAATCCTTCTCAAATATTTTGGAGGCAACTAAAGATAAAACATTTCTTATAAAATTAAATTTTTTTTTCACTCTCTGTCGAAAATATTATTGCCTTTCCTTGAATATTATCAAAGTGATAAACCACTTATTCCCTTTTTTTTGCTGAAGATATCTTAAAACTTGTAAATGATTGCCTTCAGCACTTTAAAATTTTGAAACTAGAATATTCAAAAATAACTAAAGCAGAAAATCTTTATAAATTTAATTTTAATGATCCAAATTGTTATAATGATAAAAGTAAAGTTTATTTGGGATTCATTGCTGAGCAGTTAATGAATGATAAATGCTGCAAGAAGGACATTTCACAAGCTGAAAGTTTTGCATTGAAACAAGAAGGTCAACAATGTGTCTTAACAATGGTACAACACTTAATGTCTAAATGTCCAATAAATTATTCTCTTATTCGAAATGCATCTTGTATAGACCCACAATTGATGGCTAAAAGTCCAGAAAAAGCCCAGAACAAAATAAAATAGTTCTAACTGGTATTAATGCAGAATAAACGTTTTTACAAGATGATTGGGATGAAATTCTGCTGCAGTTTGAGAGTTTCTAGACAAAGTAGTTTAAGACAAAATTTATATGAATTTTCTACTTTTGATCTCAAAATCTTTCTCTTGACACATTTCTCACTAATCTATATTTTCATGTATATTTTCACTATTCAAAAAGTATGGAAAATAGTGAAAATGATTCTTATCTTGTCACATGAACAGGCCTTTGTGGAAAGGGGCTTCTCTGTAAATAAAGCAGTTGAAATTGAAAATTTAAGTGACTCATCATACATTTTTCAACGCACAGTATTTGATTACATAAAATTTTCTGGAGGTGTTCTTAATATCGAAATTAATAAAGAAATGAGATCAGCAGCAGCTTCTGCAAGAAGTGGAGTTCGTTATTTAGAAGTTCAGTATTTAGAAGAACAAAAATCTTTAACTAAATCTGAAAATTCAAAGAGGAAAAGAAATATTATTGAAGCAGAAGAAAATTTCTTCAAAGGGACATTAAAGACATTAATGAAGAAGTAGATGCTTTAGCAGATAAAGCTGAGACCATCAGGAACATTGATTTGTTTATCAAAGCAAATGAACTTAGAAGAATAGTTAAAGAAAAGAAATAGACATAAATAAATTAGATGTTAAAATAGCTGAAAAGATTTCAGATTTTAAAAAAAGCACAAATGTTTTGTATCTTTTATTGTACAGTTTATTATTCTAGTATCTTTCAAAAAAACCAAGGAAATAAATTGTATGTTTACAAATCAGTTATTTTAATCTGCAAAATATTCTTACATTGTGATTATAATAGTAGTTGACTATGTTTAAATAAATATCAAATAAGTTAAATAATAATCATGTAAATCTCTAAAATAGTGACTGTTATTAGTGTAAAATACACTTATACATGTTTTTCAAGAAATTATGTTCCTCATTTAATGTTATCTACTTCATAACTTGTAGGGAGTTAGTTTAATTTTCAAAATTGTTTTATGGTAAGTATTAAGTTGAATTTAATAATAGTGCATAATACACACTTCTGTTAGTTTCTTAAAGTGAAATTACAAGCATGAAGTCGGTTGTATGGATAATTGCTTTATTCTATTCGTTTTTTTGTTTGCTGATAGGTCCTTAATTTTTTTCTTTGATGGTCCTTAAAAGTCCTTAATTTTCATGTAAGGAAATGTGTACGAACCCTGGAGATCCAGACATCCAATATCCGGAATGATCTAAAATTTGGACCTCAAAGCCACCAATAATAAATATTTTTTTAGGATTTTTTTGGGGAGGAGGTTGCGTATGCTTTATGCATGCACAATTGTTTTTTCTCCCCTCATAATAAAACGTGGAGAATCCCGATTTTTAATCTCACTTCGGCACTAAAAAAAAATACCTCATTATTGAAGAAATGATCATTTTAGCATAAATTTGTGTGATCAATAATTTGACTTCATAGCTGTATATCTGCTTGGCATACATCTCAAACTGAAACATTCTACATAGGGATATTTTTGATTTTACACCAACTTAAGAATAACTGATTTGTTATTCACATAAAGCCAGAGCCCACATGGCTGCACCAGGTGGCAGAATTTAGGGAAAAAGAAGAGTTAACAGAAGCTTTTCATTGCGATTACAATGCCCCAAGCATCAATCAATTAACAGATGGCGAAATGCATAATATTGTTTTAGATCTATAAAATACCAGTACCAATAGTGAAGAAAGTGACAGAGAGGTTATTGAAAACGAAAAGATTTCAATTGACAAGTTAGGCGGAATTCTTGACACAGAAATTACAAGACTTGAACAATGGAACTTAGTAACTGAACAAGAAATTATATCTGTTTATAGAATTAAAGAGAAAGTATTAGCACAAAAAACAAAGCAACTTAAACAACTTATATTGAAAGAAATGTTTAATAAAGTAAACATTTAAATATTATCCTTTTTCCTGTAAATTTTGATACCCTTTGGATCATAATTGCTTCGTTATTTCATGAATTATGATTTCATATTTTTAATTTTATAATTTCTGCATGCCATTTTACTGGATTTAAACTGATGATCTAATACCTAAAAAAATTCCAAATCTGAGATCGTATAAGTCCTGGCAAGTCCAGATCTCGGACTTTGTGCTATAGCTAGTAATGTATTAGTTACTTTTATTACTATTTCATATCTGGTCTTCTATATCCAAATAGCCCACCAGCGGTCGAGCGGTAAAGACGCTGAACACTGGTAGTTCGGTCCGAGTTTCGAATCCTGCGAACGGGCTGGCTGCATGGGCGTTTTCATGGTTTTCCCCATGTGTAATGTGTATATGAGCCAGTTTCCCTTAGAATGTCCTCCACGAAGGCATCCCTCCCTTTAGGCAGATAACCCTAGTGTGCTTTGCCATAATTGAATCATCCTAATCCTAATCCTAACCCTATATCCAAATATTAGGTCAAAATGTTGGATCACATAACTGTTAGTGCATGTGTTAGGCCATAAAATTTCATAATTAATTTCACCACCACATCACATATTTAGCTCTTTTGCTGCTATAAAATTACTACCCTAATCATTAGTACAATAAAATATTATTTAAATGTACATCTTCATGTGTAGAGGTCTTCTATAATTTATCACACACATATATTTTCTAGGGAAAGATAAATCTGAAAGTAAGCTTCCAATGAACAAGGCTTCTGCTGATACTTCATCCATTGATAAATATTCTGGAATAAGAATTATGTAAGTAAATACATTTTTACTGGTTATTTTTAAAATTTAAATTGCATTCTACTTGAGTTTGACAACTAACATTATCATATGGTTGGTGATTTAGCTTGTACTTTTAAATTTAGTTACAGATAAAATTTTTCCCTTGAGTAATTTAGTTAGTGAGAGATATTGTTATGGATTTGGTATTTAAATAGCTTATGTTAGTTGAATTCTAAATTAATTGATTTTATTTTCCGCGAAGTGCAGCACGTGACGAATATTAAAAGAAAGCTAAGCCGAAAAATTGAAAATACAAGAGCGTGTGCATGTAACATTTAATAAATCTCTTTTTGATTTCGAGAAAGTACTAGGAAATTCTCGTGCGTGATTTTAAAATCTTTTAAAAGGAGGAAAACCTCTCAGTTTGTTGTAGTTACTTAGTTTGTTGGTGTTTTATAAGTTTGTTTAGAAAACTGCTCTCGTTGACTGTAGCGAATTCGCGGATTAGCTTTCTTTAGCTGTTTTGAATTAAGTTCTCTTGAACGTTTGAGTTGTTAGAAGATATTACTGTGATATATTGTGATACTGCATGATTATTTGAAGACATTTAATCATATTTGTTGTGATAATAATAAATTTTCTTCATTTTTCATTGGACTTGTTTGCTGCCGATTGCATCATTGTACGCAACAATTTTTGGTGTCAGAAGTGGGATTTTTAATGCCAATTACAAGAGCGATGGAAAAACAATTCAGGTGAATAATGACTGCATTTACTGCTTTCCAAGAAAAGATGGAAGGGGCCGTCAGCTGCGTTAAGGAAGAAATGAAATTGGGTCAGGAATCCTTTAAGGAAGAAATGAAAGCAGGACAAGAAGAAATGAAAGAAAAGATCGAAGCTAGTCAGGAAAAAATGGAAGAATCTGTTAGAAGAGAGATGAAATCTGTTAAAGAGGAAATGAAAGTAGGTCAAGAGGAATGAAGAGAGAAATACTTGCATAATAGAAAACACGTTCGAAGCTATGGAAGGAAGAATAGATACGGTTGAAGACAAAGTTGGAGAAATTCAAGAAAGAGTTTCTGCGGTAGAGCGACAAATTGAACATAGAGTTTCTGCTGTCCAAAAACAAATTGAGGAAAGGGTTTCTGCTGCTGTTGCCAAAGAAGTTGACACTTTAAAGAAGAGCATGGCGACAGAAGGAAGCAATTCTGAGGGTTTTAAATTCTTACCTATGCTTGCTCATCCCTCTCTGAAACTATTTACATATGATGGAAGACCTCCTGGCAAGTGTATAGGACACAATTTTCTATCGTTTCGGTTGCAAATGGATGGGATTCCAAAACTAAGGCCTGCCATCTCGCCACTTCTCTGAGAGCAGACGCAGCGGATATTCTGCAGATGCTTTCAGAAAACCAGACTTGACTTTGAAGCTTTATCCGGCGCATTGGAGCTGCGCTTTGCCGAGAAATATTTAAAAGACTACAGCAGGCTTCAATTAAAATCCTGTCAACAGAAGCCCACCGAATCACTCCAGGAACTGGCCACAGATGTTGAAAGGCTGTCCCACCTCGCCTTTACGGTGTGCCTGAGGGAAATCCTGTCCCTGCAGTACTTTATCAATGGCATCCGGGATCCCGAAATACAGAAGGCTCTACGAATGGCGGATGTTAAAGATTTGAAAAGCTCTTTAGTGTACGCCATGAAATTCGAGGCAGCCCAGCAAGCCACTTGTCGAGATCGCCACCCAGTCAGAGCTGCTCAAGTCCAGGAGCCAGGGGATCAAGCCACCGCTCATCTAGACGATTTAACAAGACAACTGAATGCCTTGAGATGGAATATTGATGATAAGAAACTGACCGTTAAGTGCTGGAACTGCAGTGCTGAAGGACGCATACGACAAAACTGCAGAACACCCCAGGGTACGGATATTAAGACCGCTCCTAACAAACAGCAGGGAAACTAATTAGTGGCCATCTTGCGTGGCTGAGGTTGCCAGATAAAGAAAAGCCCCAGTTTAAAGTGCTTCAGATTTCTGCAGTGAGAGGCGGCAGTAATGGACTTTTCATAATAGGACATATTAATGGAGTTCCCTGCAATATGATGATAGATACGGGAGCCAACGTTACCATCATCCGAAAAGATTTGGCGAAACAAACTTATCTGGACGCCACCCTGCGTTACCCACCAGACTGTGTCCGGTGAGAAGATCGACATCAACGGAAAAGTAAATATTAATATCACATTTGGAAGTGCGACTTACCATCACACAGCATATGTAGCAGAGGTCACTGATTCTTGGATATTCAGATTGGACTTTCTAAGGAAATACAGTTTTTCTTTGGATTTTAAAAATAATGAATTGCATTCTACATCTGAGGACATAGCGTTATTTGGAGTTAATGATGAAGAAGTTAATTCTATCCACAAAATTAAAGCTTAAGACGATATAACAATACCCGCAAGAACCGAGTTTTTGCTTCCTGGATCCATAGCCGAAAATAGCAATTTCCGCTACGGCATCATAGAATATACCAATAGCTGTAATAGCCTGAAAGGAGTACTAGTAGCCTTGACACTCGTCGACCTATCCAGAGCGGTTATTCCGGTGAGAGTCGCCAATGTAACTGAGAAGCGAGAGTTTATTAAGAAAGGTGAAGTGGTTGCTGCATGTACTCCAGTAACCAGCGTTGAAAGAAAGAGTAACATCCAAGAATCCGTGTCTTCAGAAAGCATTACATCGGAGTTATTGCAGAATGCGCAATTAAACGATGAAGAGAAGAATGCTGCCGATCGCATCATTAAAGATCTTCAAGTTGTTTTCTCCCGCTCGTCTTCTATCGTGGGTCGAAATAGTTTGACACATCATAGAATCGATACCGGCGATCATCCCCCAATCAAGCAACATCCAAGACGTCTACTGTTTGCTAAACAGAAAGAGGTACGAATACTTTTAAAGGATATGGAAGAAGGCGATGTCATCGAGCCTTCAGCAAGTCCATGGGCATCTCCCATCGTCTAGTCAGAAAGAAAGACGGACTCAACAAGATTTTGCGTTGACTATCGCCGGTTGAATGAGGTTACGAAGAAAGACAGTTACCCTCTTCCTAGAATTGACGACATTCTAGACACTCTTTCTGGAAGCAAGTGGTTCTCAACACTTGATTTAAAGAGTGGGTATTGGCAGGTAGAAATACAGCCTGAAGACCGAGAAAAGACGGCATTTACTATGGGATAAGGGCTTTGGCAATTCAAGGTGATGCCGTTTGGACTGTGTAATGCGCCGGCAACATTCGAACGTCTTATGGAGATTGTTTCTAAAGGCCTTTCCTACGAAGCCTGCCTGATATACCTGGACAACATCATCGTAAAAAGGAGTTTTAAAGAACATTTAGAAAATCTTAGGAAGGTGCTTCAGAAACTGAAAGAAGCCAATCTGAAGCTGAGTCCCACTAAATGCAAATTGTTCTGAAAGGATGTGACTTACCTGGGACATGTCATCTCAGCAGAAGGTGTACGCACGAATCCTGAAAAGGTATTAGCAGTTAAATCCTGGAAACGTCCCGAAAATGTCCATCAGCTGAGAAGCTTCTTAGGGCTTTGCACCTACTATAGGAGATTCGTGAAGGACTTTTCTTCCATCGCAAGACCCCTTCACAAGCTGACAGAGAGCAAGCAAAAGTTCTTCTTGTGGACAAAAGAATGCGAGGATGCATTTAACAACTTAAAGGAAGCTTTAACATCTGCTTCAATCCTGACGTATCCTCAGCTCAACAGACCATTTATTCTCGACACGGACGCGAGCAATGAAAGTGTCGGTGCGGTTTTGTCCCAAGAAATAGATGGTCAAGAACGTGTAGTGGCGTACTGGAGCAAGTGCCTGTCTAAACCGGAGAGGAATTACTGTGTCACCAGGAAAGAGTTGCTCGCTATAGTCAAAGCTGTAGAACATTTCCATCATTATCTATACGGCAGAAAATTCCTGCTCCGCACCGGTCATGCATCATTGGCCTGGCTTTTAAATTTCAAGAATCCTGAGGGTTAAATAGCCAGGTGGATACAGAGACTCCAAGAATACGACATCACTATCCGTCATCGTAAGGGATCATCACACGAAAACGCCGACGCCCTGTCTAGACGATCTTGCCCAGAAAGCTGCGGTTATTGTTTCAGCGAAATACGAGCTACTGACTGCGGTCATAAGACATATTACAACATCAACATCGGCTGATCAAGACCCGTGGAAGGAAGATGAAGTCAGGAAAGACCAGCTGGAAGACCGTGACATTAAACCCGTAATTGATTTAATGGAGTCATCAAACAAAAAACCTACCTGGCAGGATATTTCTATCTGTAGTTCTACAACAAAACAATACTGGGCACTCTGGGATTCGCTTCACATTCGAAACGGCGTCTTATACCGGAAATTCGAATCGGATGATGGGAAGACGTTCCGATTGCAACTGAGACTTCCAAGATCCCGGATTCCTGATGTCCTTAAAGAACTACATAACAGCCCTACAGGAGGTCACTTTGGAATTATGAAGACCTTACAGAGAGTTCGTGAGCGCTTTTACTGGAATTGTTGGCTTTAGTTTTCCACATGCAAATTTTGATCGGAGGTCAATCGGCGGTAAGCTAACGTGGTTGCCGCTGATTGGCCGATGACGTCATAGATTCAGCGGGTTGGCCGAGTATTATTATCTATGTGTGCCGGTATCGGCGAATGTCTTGTGCTCTTGTGTTATTTATGAGTTAGCATAATGCTAGTTTGCTTTCAGTCAAATGATTTTAAATGTAAAGGCTACAGTGTTAGCTCTTTTATTTTAATTTATGGAATAAGGCATGAATTTTATTTAGATTAGTCTTAGCTTTATTTAAGGGAAGCAAAATATGCTTTGCCTTTATCATCACCACTGCCAACAGGGTTATGGGCCCAGCGCGAACAGCTAATCGGTCATCCAGTTCAACTCAGCATTGAAGGAATGTAGATGAAGAGGGCCGTTATCCATGAAAAGAAGCTGACCTGTCTT